TTTTTATTTTTTGACAGTTTTACTAGTCCGAGTCCGAGGAATACGGGATTGTACCTATTATAGCAAAAGAACTTGTCTCTCTGCAATTTCTGCGATTTGCATTTGACACCACAACCTCTTTCGATTGAAGTTGTTTTGCCCAAATGCATATTGTAAAAGAAATTCCTTCTCAAATAAACTTGTATTGACCCAAGGAACAAAAAAAAAACATTTACTATTTTACTCCAAACTCAATTTGGCAAAACAACTTGTAAGGGATAAGACATGGTAAAATGGGGATAAGATTAGAAAAAACGTCTTATTTATATACACTGCCGGAACAAAGTATTGGCACAGCAAATTTAAATATTGTTTTTATGTGTTTCTTTCAGATGAATCCACAAAAAGAAATTCCGGTGCTTGATGATGATGGTTTTTATTTATCGGAGAGCATTGCCATTATGCAGTATCTATGCGATAAGTACGCAACGAATAGTAACCTTTATCCGAGGGATGCCAACAAACGTGCTATAGTAAATCAACGGCTGTGTTTCAATATGGGTTTCTATTATTCAGCCATATCAGCTCATAGCATGGCACCAATATTCTTTGATTACCAACGTACCGATATGTCTTTGAAGAAGGTTAACAATGCTTTGAATGTATTTGAAACGTACTTGCGTGATGGCGGCAAAAAATATGCTGCCGCAGATTTTCTAACTATTGCCGATTTCGGGTTGGTGTCAGCCACTTTATGCTTAGAGGCAATAGGGTTTGATATATCATCTTATCCATTGGTGCAAAAGTGGTATGAAACATTTAAACAGGAAAATCCAGAATTATGGGAAATCGGAAAAGGTGGAATGTTGGAAATCTCTGAATTCGAAAACAATCCACCTGACCTTTCTCACATGAAACATCCATTTCATCCAACTCGAAAATCGAAGGTATAAGCTAAGTATAAGTAAATGCATTGCAAAGCAGAGGTTTTAAGTGTTTTGATCCCAAGTAAATTTAATGCTTTGTTCTAATTATTAAGATGTATTGATATCAAATATATATATGTATGTATGAAAATTACGTTTGAATATTTCTTTGGTTTGATATGATTCGCAAAACATTTTGATTTCGTAGTTAACACAGAGTGCCAGTTGCATTTAGTTTTCGGCATTAAACATCCTATATTAAATATACACATATTTTACCATTCCGGAGGGCCTGGGTTCGAGCCCAGTTTCCGACTAACATAAAAAAAGGTTTTCTAATAGCGGTCGCCACTCGGCAGACAATTGCAAACCTCCGAGTGTATTCAGCCATGAAAAAGAGCTTTTCATAAAAATACAATCGCCGTTCGGAGTGTAGGTTGTTGTTGTAGCGGCTACAACAACCCCGCCCAGATCGGCTAGTCTCTCAGTTGTTGTCGTCAAGCTCAGCCAACGGGAGACCCAAGAAGCGTGCAGCCTCTATGGGGTCTGTCCATAGGGACAAAAGCGTCAGTCGAATCGGGTTTTGTGGGCATGCGAAGAGATGTTTCGAGTCGTGGGGTGTCCCTCCGCATGCCGGACGTTCATTGGGCTCATCCGCATCTAGTCTGCTCAGGCGTGAGTTCAACCAGGAGCCAGAGCGAAGTTGCGCTATTGTGGTCCGAGTCTCTAGAGGCAGACGAAGCTCCGTCTTATCCACGTCAGGTGGTTGTGTGCTCAGAATGGTACAGGCGCTCATCATTGGCAATCAAAAGCAAAATACAAATTTTTACTGCACAATTTCCGCAGCGTTTCAGAAGGCTTTGCAGTTGAGCATCAGCAACATAACATTTAGAAAGCAACAAGGCAGCAATATGCGGTAATTATTACGTAGCTCGAACACACCCTTTTTTTTCCGCCGACGAAACCTAAACGGTTATTAAAAGAATCTATAGCGGCAGAAGTGACAAATCGGGGTTTAAGGCATAAACCATTTGCCATTTGGTCATATGTGCTGCGATATGCAAGCGCAAATTAAGCATAATAAAGTTAATAAGAATTCAATTATGTACTTGTACTTGCTCGGCGGCCGCTGTGGTGTAGGGGCTAGCAGTGCGCGCTACCACCACGCTGGGCCTGTGTTGAAGCCCGGTTCAACCCAACATCAAAAATAAAAACAAACAAACAATTTTTTCTAATAGTTGACGACCCTCGGCAGACAATGGCAAACGTCCGAGTGTATTTCTGCCATGAAAAACAGCTTCTCATAAAAAATACAATCGCCGTTCGGAGTGGGCGTAAAACTGTAGGTCCCTCCCCCGTGCTTACCAACATCAATGCGCAGTTTGAAACTATTCTGAGTGTAAATAAGTCACTCCAGAGTTATCAAAGGTTTTCGCGCATTTAATATAGGCACATGGGCTAAAAGCTCCCTTTGGTCGTAATAACTCTATTTTCTTTTGACAAAAAGATGATCTTCGTTGTATCCAAAAAAAAAAGCATCAATGCAGCGAGTTAATTTTCTTCGTTTTGATAATACGATTGCGACAACCACAATAAATTCTATTGTAATGCACTATCACATCACTAACAATAAAATATGTATATATAGTTTCATCAATTACCTGAAGTCTTCAATTAAATTCCCAATCGCTTCAGAAAGCTTCCGATGCGTTCGTCCCCATGCCGATTCGTGTGTGACGTCGCCCAATAACGCTCTCGGATCTGGGTCCAAATAGTTGTCCAGTTGTTTTCGTGCGGTTTTACTAAGCAAATCCATTTTACTCAATACATTGACATGTGGCATTTCCAAATTAGCCATGACACTTAGAGCAGCCATTGTGCCAGAGAGAAATTTCGCGCCATCAACCATAAACTGAGAATCCACTAGAAAAACTGTACAAATGCGGAAATTCCAAGACTCCAACAAATTTACTAATTGTTTTCCCATTGATAAATGTGTGAAAAGTTCTATTTGTCCAGGCATGTCAAAGAGTATGTAGTCGTCATCAGGTTCCCCTCCAATTTCATCAGTGTCAGATTCCTCACCACCACAAAGCTGCGATTTCAACCAATCTTGATTTTCTATTAAATATTCCAAGCAGAATACTAGACCGCCATTTGGACCATAGTGGAGTTCTTCATCTTCCATTGCATCGTCAAGTTGAATCAAATCACGGATATCCACCAAAGGCTGATAGTCAAAATGTTCGGCAGCGGGATCCAAGTTGACCACTTCAATGATTCGCTTTGAATCTTGGGCATGACGCTGCATATATGCACAATATGTAGACTGTTTATAAGATGAAAATAATTGTTATTAATGTACATACGTTCTATTTTTTTATAATTAACTTACTTTACCACTACCGGCAGGGCCAATCACAACTTGAGCGTATCGCATTTTGTTGCCAAAATAAGGAATGGCAAAGTCAGCTCCGCCTTTGATCAAAAATCGACTTTTTGCTGACAAACTTGACTTTTCGGAATCGAGTTTAGTCGGTTCTCAATCGATGACTTCTTGACTTTTGTCTAGTAATTAGTCCCCTTTCAGACACGTCAAGCCTTGCTTTCCATCTGCTCGTTCGCCGGCGAAGGAGGTGAGAAGAGAGGGGAGAGTACAGATACCTCCGTTCCATCAATTCGTTTCAAGTTTTCTTGACTCTTTTATCTTTTCGTTGCTTCCCATTTAATTGAATTCAATTAAAGTTGACGCGTGTGGAAGCAAAGAGAAAATACAAAAGAGAATGCGAAAAAAATTGCTTTCAAGACTTGACGTGTGGTCCACAGGGACAAAGCCGTTGTCGGGTTTTCCGGGCATGCGAAGGGATGTTTCGAGTCATGAGGAGTCTCTCCGCATGCCGGACACTCATTTGGCACATCCGCGTTCAGTATGCGGGAATGCTTTTCTTAGCCCAAAAAACTAGCAGCTCTCTCCTGTAATTTCTGACAGTAAAATTTTTACTATAATTCAAATTTCTCCTTGCCGCTGATTTGTAAAAAAAAGGTTTATTTACTAGCTACCACAACTGTCAAAATCGGCAAGCCAAAGTAGCCGTACCACTGACGGCGCCACCTCTGTTCCGAGGCGCATCCATGCAAGGTGATGGTAATTGCATATAAGTAAAAGTCCCATGTATTTGGTTATTGCTTTTTAGTACATCAGGATGTCAAAACGCAACGGAATAGGAGATAATTTTCGCCTTTCGTTTTGTTGACATCCTAAAGTTGCGCTATTTCGTCTTGGATGACATTCTCCTGAACTAGTGTAGAGACAAAAATATCCAATCAGCTGTTCAATCAACACCACCTTGTATTGATGCACCTCGCTTTGCTCGCTGCACCGTGCTACAGTTCTGTTTGTTTACAAATAATCCAGTAACTTGCCAGGAACTCTCCAGTAACTTTATTTCTAAGAATTCGCTCTCATAGAAAAAATTTTCAAAAAAGTACGCGAACGCAAATCTAGTAATAATTTGCAAGTTTCACAAACAGCTGATAAATTGGTTGTTTATTCACAGCATATTCCTAATAAAACATTATGTTTTATATTTAAATAAGTTTATTGAAAATTTTCCTATTCGCCAATCTGCTATCAACAGCTGTGAAAAGTTCAGAAACACTCCTGGTGTTACTGGCGAATTTAGATTAAAACAACAACAACCACATGTCACGATTGAGAGAATACAAAGGTGGCGCCGATCTCGGACCGCTATTCCTCTCTTAACGAATTTGACAAAATCGTTGTTTGCATGACGTCACTCTGGTGCAACCTGTTTACGTTTTCCTTGCAACATTTCTTCTTCCATTCTTGCTCACGTTTTGGCATTTCTCTCTCGCAATTGCACCAGTGTGACGTCACTCAAAATTTATTCTCAAAAATCCTCTGTGATCGGCGCAATCTTGTATTCTATCATTCTTGAATGAGAATGAGAGAGCAAGACGAACTCGACAAGAAAAAGAAGAAGCATCGAGCAAAAGGCAGTATTGCCAAGGTTTGAATTTGAAAAAGCACCAAATTTTTATTGGTGTATTTTATGGACTTTATATGAATACATAATTTTATTGTTAGGATGCCGATTCAAATTAATAAAAATCAATGTTTCTTGCACAACGGTCGATTTCTTCTGGCATGATTGAAGGTGCCGCACATATTTCGTTGTCGCTTATGATTGCCACTGTGCCATGATTTTGTTTAAATTTTTGTAAAATTGCTTAGCGCACTTACGATTGCTATACATTTTGCTTCCATTTTTTTAAGATTTTCTAATTTGATGGGTTCAAACTAAAAACAAAAGCACCAAAAACGCACCAAGCACAAAATTAAAAATTTTCGCGTTTTGAATACCCACTAAATTTGGTGCGAAAAGCATGAAGTTGGCAACAGTGAATGTAAACAAAAGTATATTATGACGTCAGCGATTGGGTGAATGCTGTCAAATTGACGAAGAGAGGGTTAGCGAATGGCGCGACCTTTATTTTCTGGATCGTGTATTTGTATTGTGGGTGTTATGTCAAATCTCAATTCGCCCCAAAGTTTGCATGTACCAAGGCGAATTTATACAAGGTGGTGTTGTAAAATCAGCTGAATTTTTCGTCGTCATGTATTTAGCAAAAGAGGGGAAATTGAGAGAGCAAAAATGATAGCTGAATTTGCAAGTTTTACTGGATTTTTACTGGATAAATTTTTACAAGAACTATTTGCTAGTAAGAAAAACAACTGATGGCATGATGCTTAGCGTAATTCACATTAACAAATTAATTGTTTGTGGTGCTTTTAGAATTGCAATTGACAAAATAAACCTATTTAAATATATAAAAAGATGGAAAACATTAGTTTTCTAAGAAAATGACATCGGCAAATAACAAACTAATGAGCTGTTCATAAAACTAGCAACTTCTTGCTTGTTTTGCATTTTCGTACTTTCTTGCATATTTTACTCATTGGGAGTAAATATTGGCTTACTCTCCGAAATTTGGTTATTGGCAAGTTACTGGATATTTTTTGCTGGAGAATACGAAAACACAACTATTATTTTGACGTGATGCCCTCCACGGCGAAAAACTCAGCTGTAGCCCTAATACCATCTTGAAGGCGTATTCATACAAGGTGATGTTGTCCAATCAGCTGATTTCTTCTTCTTTCTTTCGCCTTTTATGTATTTTGTTTTTGCTTCTACTGATTTGACAGCATGCCCCTGAATAGCAACAACAAAATACATGTAAACTTTGAGGCGAATTGAGATTTGACATTTTGCACCTGATCCAAAATACATGTGGTTGTTGTTTGTTATATTCTTTCTACCACCTTGTATAAATTCGCCTTGACCACCTTGTTAAATACACCTTGATTTTGACGTAATGCTTTTCAGGCGAAAAACTCAGCTGTCGGCTCAACACCACCTTGTTAAATAAATCTTGGTTCATAAAGAATAACGGAGAAGAAAAGTAAATAGGACTGAAGGCGAAATTTTTTAACTAAATTGCAGCAAAATATACGAGAACTGAGTAAGATTAAATGCAACGCCAAGAACACAATTTATGTGCTGGTGTAATGCAGTAAGTAGTAATTTATTATTGCGTATACAGTTTTGACGAGTCTAAATTTTGGCCAATAACAGCGGAATAGACCAGGATTCGACGGCAGCTGCGGCAACTGCTGGTGGTCAACACATGATTTTCACTCCACCATACCAGCAATCAATACAAACTTTGCCGCATTCAATGCCTACACCATCCCCAACACCATGGAATCTTCATACAATGCCGTGGAAGTTAGCAAGCACAAATTTGGGACAAGACGGCGTTATGCAGTTCCGAGCACACGTCAATAATGAGGCTCAAAGTCGAGCTGCTCTTCATCAGAAACGCAAATCTGGAATGGAAACCCCTTTGTAAGCTAAAATCTTTTATTTACTAGAAGAACTAACATAATTTTTTTTTTATTTATTGTAGACCGGTCAAGCAATTTATTTCGGAAGAAAAAATTACGGCCCATTTTAATGGCTTGCACATATCTAGTGATTATATACATAATAACGCTCAAGGGAATACAAATTCCATGTCTAGCGATGAAACACCTACTACCAGTACTGGTAAATGTTTTACTAATCTCACCTACGAAGACTATCAGGTAACTGCGAAAGAATTAGAAGAAAAACTTCGAAATGCTAGTCGTTTCACTGTGTGCGACCAGTTGAAAAGACTTCATGAGCAAGAAATTAAATCCACATTCTTACCGGAAGCTCTTTTAAATCGAATCGAAAAACCGTGTACCGCATTGGTGCTATGGCAGCCGCCTCCACTGCTAGAGCTGCTCCATCGTAAGAAAGAGAATGAATTGACGCCAACCAGCAGCGATAGTACAAGTGCAGATAGTTTTGGTACTACAGATATAGCGGATGCTGATACTATAGGCGATGATGATGAGTTCTCTGATCCTGATCCCGAGGTGGAAGATATCGACGACTTTGCTGACAATAACAATACATGTCGTTTGGATTTTAATAATATGAAAGCCGATCATATGGACCAGGATTTGTAGTACAAAGGAAATTAATTTGTTTTTGTATGGTCGCACACAATCTTCCAAATAGTAACGCAGTTAAAGCGGCTTCAAATCTGCCTAATTCTTGTTTAGTTTTCGAAATGCGTTATGTAAGACTAAAAATCGTCATCTTCGAACTGAAATGTAGTTAAGTATGCATGTAATTTGAAATTATTTTTCGTAATTGCGCAATATATTAATTGCGCGTATTGTATGAATGGGCACTATGTATATGCCAGAGGGCTTTCTTTGTACCTATTCAAAATTTTTATACATTTTTTTAAGCTTACAACTTATAAGATATTAACGTTTTTTCAATTAACGAATAGCGTTCGATGATGCCAGTAACAATTTTGCAATTGCTCAGAGAATTTTAATATTTCTAATAATGTGGAAAGCATATTACTTAGGGTATCTTAAACTGAATAGCGTATCTTAAATTTAATAATAAATAAATATAAATGTATGTATGTATGTTCAGAGATTTAATCTATTGTTTTGTTGTTATAAGAATATAGAATTGCTCCAAAAAGGTAATTTAAATATATTTTACATAGCTTAATAAATATATGTACAGGCAGATTCTGAACAGAAACCCCCTGGGAGTTTTCTCTCTTTTTCCCTTTCCTCCTATCATGCATAAAAATTCCCTGAGGATTTTTTTTATTAATTGGCGGAGTTGAGCTGTCAATAAAGTGTCATACAGCTTTTTCGATGTTCGAAAATGCTACTCCCTGGGAGTTAATTATTGGAGGATTCCTTTCTTGGGAGATAGAAATTCCCGGAAAACAAACTTCCCTGCAGTTTTCAGAATTGGGCTGGTAGATTGTTTTAAATATAGTCAAGGACCACCTCTTGATCGGAAAGATTGTCAGTGGTAGCCCTGAACCCGATGTGTATATGGTAAACGGGGATGTTATTCTTCCGGATGTAGCAGACAGGAAACGCGCCATGATCAAAGCATATGCCAAGGCGAATCAAGTTTGAAAGTTTTTTTTTACGAGACTTAACTCTACATTTATGCAATTGAATTTGTAAAATATGTGGTCTCCGTGTACGCATGGTATTCTGCGTTTTGGTATAACACAAAACACTCAAAGGTTAATCAAGTCAACCCAATAACTCCAAACCGATAAATTTGCACATTCATGATTCTGGCATAAAGGCTCTGTTATGCATACTTGGCATTGCTTGAGAGTTGTCACATAAGGAATCTGTTAAATGAGCTTCGCGTGTAAGCGGTTACCCAACGCACAGCATTACATACGTAAAAATCTGTTGGTTTTTGATTTCTACGTAAAAATGGTATAGCAGTGCATGCAATGCCAAGTATGCATAACAGAGCCTTAAGAGTTGTGTTCCAGATAACTTAGTGTAAAAACCTGTAAAAAGTGTCAAATAACAAAATTACTCTCTTGAAAGAGAGGAGCGAGAACGAAACAGTAAAAATCACCTGGAACGCGAAACACCACCTTCCCTGTAACTGCTTTAATTTTTTAACAAATGTAAGACCGCTTTTACACAGTTCAAGTATTGAATTCAATTGTGCTCGCTTGTAGAAGAGAGGGGGTTAGAGGAAAAGGGACGAGCACGCATGCGTCCGTACCGTCAAGTCGTTTCAACTTTCTGGCTTTGCGTTTTTATTTTTGTATTATTTATTTTAATTTTTATTACAAATTATCCCTCAAATAAGGAAATTACCCATAATCTGACATTACTGGCTCTGTTTGATAATTGGCGAGCACAGGGTTGCTTTTTAAGAAATTCCTTTTCATAACTTGCTGTCTCCACAGGCAAAAGTTTTTATCTTGATAATCCCTGCAAAAATCGCGACTACTCCATGCATGCATGCAAAGAGTACTCCCTAAAGACCAAGGAGTACCCAAAATAAACCACAATTCATATAAAAAATGTCCAATTAACGTTGCGATGTCCTAGGGCAGGACCATATATTCCATCTCTGCATTACATCAGAGTAACAGAAAACTACTCCAACATATTAACAATGGCATATTGCTCATGGCAAGCAATAATTATCAGAGCGTTTACCTTTCTTTATGTGCAGAACTGTACAAATATACATATCGAGCAGACATATATTGAAAAAAATGTCGCTTACGCTATTTTGACAGTTAGGGCTCGATATGTCAGCGCTTCATTCACCTAAAATTATTACGAAAGCTTGTTGACTTTTTTTAAATATTGGACAAAGTTTGAAATTTGAATTTACACGAGTTATGTTAAAGAAATAACTATATTTTTATAAGAAATAACCAAAATAAAATTACAAAAATAAATAATATGTTAAAACTTATCAAAATATGGTGCGGCTATAACTTTTTCGACTACTGTAAACAAGTGCCAAGAAAATATATCAAAAATTCAACACTTGAAGGAAAGCTTTCGACTCACACATAGACAGAAAGCGTATTGAACGAAAAATTCAATCAGACAAATTTCAGAAAAAACGGCCGAAAACGTATACGTTTCACACACTGTTGCCTGCCGCAGACTTTAATGGCAAAACGGATCGTCAAAGTATCCGGAAATGAAATCAGTAATCCGCACTTTATCCACTTTTTTGTCCTTTTTCGGATCGGTTTTGTATTTACGTAGAATTCTATTCATTGTATGATTGGCGGGTTCACTGGAAAATTAATGATAATTGCAAAGCTGACGAACTGACAAGGACAGGTAGGACCACCCAAAAAAAATTCCAGGAAAGGACACGGTGGATAAACTTAGTAATAGCCACTTTCAAGAAGTTGGTTAAAGAACACATAATTCTAAATAGTAACCAAGGAACGCTGGAACAACTTTCGCCTTGCGAAACATTCAGGATTACCTGGTATTTCTATAAAAGGAAATGCTTACGGGCCACTTACTAATGTGGAATCAGAACATATATTGACCTATTTGACATATAGGATCGAATCGAAAAAGCTACCAAATTTGAAAAATAAATTACCAAATTACCAAACTTGAAATAAAGAAAAAAAATTACCAATTTTGGTTAACAATTACCAACGCTGGGCATAACCATGATTTAAAACATTGAAAAATTCAAGTGTATCTGTTCAAATATAAAATAAATTATCCGCCATGTTAGCTATCTGACAGAAAACGTGTTTCGCATTTTTTGTTGTACCAACTTTTTCAAAAAAAAAATTCAGCTTTTGACGTTGGAGAAATAAAACAAAGAAAAGCCAAACATATAAGTATAGAAATTTTCGAATATTTTGTAATAATTTTCTTAATAAAAAATTAACTGCTGCTTTCGTGGATATTGCAACACACGGAATAGATGTAAGGATACAGCTATAAGAGCCACCGCACACCACAGACTTTATCGGCCGCCTATTTAAATGATATGGCTCGCTTGAAATATGTACATGAAGATGTATGGAGGTGCGCACATTACACCAGCTTAATCGCTCTGACCAATAAGTTGTGGTCCAATGGAAAGACTAGCGAGCACATCTAAATTGGCGGCCGATAAAGTCCGTGGTGTGCGATGGATCTAATCCATTATAAACAAGAAATATTGCTGTCATATTTTCATTTTTATGATTTTTATTCATGTGATTAGCAGTGGCAAAAATGTATGTATAAAATACATATATTTATATTAAAAATTAAGTGATCAGTTATGAAACATATAAATCTTTACATGTTCTGTTAAAAAATATCTAAAATAACAAGCGATAATCCCCAAGTTGTATATCGTAGCAGTGGCCACATTGCTCGTTTGTCACAGACACGGTTTATGTCAAAAATTTTGAAGTGAAACTACCTTCTAAAAATTATTGTATCATGGTTGGCATGGTGGAGCAGAGAACTTTTTTTGTGGAGACAGGTTCCGTTTTCATTAGTTTCGATGGCAGCGAAAGGTGTGGACGTGAAATCTATAGCGCTCTACGAAATTTCGTTATCCAGTTGCAAAAATCGGACGGGCCAAATTAATTATTAGCCATCTGCGTGGCTCACGGTATTTTCATTAATTCATGAAAAAAGAGTGCTTCTTGTTTTAAACGGATCGAGTGAACATTTTTTTCAAGTATGTTTATTAAAATATTTACATATGTATGTATATAACATTTTCTCACAACCCACATAAATATATGTACATGAATGCATAGGCATAGATATGTGAATACCGATAATCGAGAGTGGAAATATGATTTGTGCGGACCACAGAGATTAACATAATAAACAGCCCATTATAAAAAGGTATGTACATATGGAGATGTATGTATGTATGTACATATGTACGTATAGACATGTCGGATGTAGTATATATGCAATTATGTGCATGTGTACATTTATATATATAAATATAGTATATATATATATATATGTACATATATGTATGTATATATATATATATATGTATATATATGTATACGCTGCAAGTACCCCCGCAAAGATGTGAAAAGAATATACACTGTGTAATCAATCCAATTCGATTTACTGTATAAGCTCTAATCAGAATTATTTGTGCAATATGTATGTATGTTTTACATACGTACGTACATACCTGTGTCCATAAGTAAGTATGTAAATGACATGCATAGTTACTACATATATATTCATATCTCGTTGTTGTAAAATGTAGTGACTCAAAAATACGAGTGAACTATTACAAAATTGAAGAAGAACATGGACGGACGTGTGGCTTTAATAAGCAAGTTCAGGGAGAACAGAATCACAATCACAAAAATTTTATATGTACAAAGTACATACATACGTAAATTATAAAACAGATGTATGTACTTACCAACTTGTAAAAAGGGAATCAGATTGCGTGCTAAAATAGTAATGTATCTAATCTCCCTATAATTTTGCGCTAATAAGGAGAAAATTTGGTACTTGAATAGTTTTCAGTGTTAGAGCCTCCCCACACCAAAGACTATCGGGCGCCAATTATTTAGTCGGGTTGGGTTATATGAGCGCACCCTGCAGACAATATCGGTGGCCAATTGCTAGAACATCGATGACGGAGCTGCCAATTTTTTTAGGGGGATATTTTCCATAAATTCGGTCCAATTTTGAAAAAAAAATAAAAATGAGGGCTTGTAGAGGTGCTTTTTCCGATTCTAAAAGTGAAAACCCCAAAGCGCGGAATCTTCTATTTAAAAACTTTTAAAGATGCACAATTCGCCATACAAATTTCATTGATTACATGGTGAAATAATATTTATTCCACCATATATTATTTATTTCACCATGATTGATTACATTAAAGTGAATGAACACAGTTGTTGGTGCTGCCAGCTGATGAGAATAGTAAAAAAAAAACGCGGGTTTTTTATTGAAAATTTTCACTTTATATTGAAATATCTACTGTCGCAGGCGAAGTATTGACTTTAATAAAATTGTTAATTATTTATCAAATTATCGATTTTTATACAAAAGCGTCGCAGGCGAAAAATTTTAATAAAAAACCGCGCGAGTTTTTATAAAAAAATTTCATCATTTAGCGAAGTTTT